ACAAACAAAAACAAACAAACATGCCCAAGCTTTTATTCATGGATACGTTATTATGTGACGGGTTATCCTACTTTTCATTGGTTTGTTTGTTTGTTTGAATTTCGCGCAAAACTACACGAGGGCTATCTGCGCTGGCCGTCCCTAATTTAGCAGTGTAAGACTAGAGGGAAGGCAGCTAGTCATCACCACCCACCGCCAACTCTTGGGCTTATCTTTTACCAACGAATAGTGGGATTGACCGTCACATTATACCGCCCCCACGGCTGAAAGGGCGAGCATGTTTGGTGGGATGGGGATGCGAACCCGCGACCCGCAGATTGCGAATCGAGCGTCCTAACCACCTGGTCATGCCGGGCCCTTTTCATTGGTAAAGAGTTGGAGGTGGGTAGTGTTAACTAGCTGCCTTCCTTCTAGTCTATTAATTAGGGACGGAAAGCGCAGAAAGCCCTCGAGTAGGTTTTGCGAAATTCAACGAAATAAATAAACATATTAAATTAACCCAATTAATAAAAATGAGAGTCATTTGGCGGTCTTTTAAATATTAATTTATGAAACACGTATTCAAAGTGGGATTAGCTTTAAACTAATTATCCTTCTTTTAGCAAACACATTTAATACAACCCATCGGTAAAAAATATAGGAATTACAGACTTCTGATGGTCTTTAAATATTAGTTTGTAAAATAATCATTCAAATTGAAGCCAGTTTGAAACTAAGTTAACCTTTGTTTCCTTATTTATATTGGTGTCTAACCTATTAATGCAAGCAGGATAATCGAGTTATATGAATATACAATATATAGGACTAAGCTACCGTCAATGATCCATTAACAAGCTTAACTAATTGCATTTATTTTTCTTATACCGTTAAAATTTGAATTGCTTGCACAACCGACTAAGTTAATTACCAACATGTATAGGCCACTTCTCGAATTCACCATAAGTATTCCTTTTTTGTAAACGAAGTGCTTGAAATAATAAAAGCCAATTTCTAGTTAGGCCGGTTTACAATTACGTTAGTGTCACCAGGTGAAGACAGTCTGTCAAGTTGATTCAAACCATAGACAAGTAGCAAGAAATGAATGTTTGAGATAAATAAAATAAAACCTAAACTATTAAAATATCATATGTTTTTTATATTTTACAAAACAGTAGAATATAAGCGTGACTAAGCCGAACATCAGGTTGACTAATAAAAATGTTGTCAGATTTAACCGTAAGCGATTATTATTATCTTTACGAAGAGCCTATAAATATAAAATCCTATCTTTGAAATGGCCAACAAACCTCCTGTCTGAATTGTTGTATTTCACTGTGTATAAAACATTATATGGTCTTGTAAGTTTTGAAATATAATTTTCATTATTTTAAAACTCGCGTAATTTTTTTTAAATTACGCCCTTTTTAATGGTTTAAAATGTCATAATTACTGGGATTCTAAAACTTGATAGTTTTTTATTCTGAATATTACTACTCAAAAAGTCTCATAATATATACTTATATATTTTAGTATGCTAACTAAAATTTTGAACCGGTTAACAACATACGTAACGACTTTAGTAACCTTTGACATTTTTTTTTCTATGTTGCGTTTCCAACGAATGAATAATTTGCCTTGTCACTACTAATCAAATATGTTATTGGTTTGTTTTTGTTTTTACGCATGCTTGTTTCCAGCGGTTCGAAACATGACTGGTCAGTTTTATCTCAATGGAAACTGGAAAATAGTGTTTCCCAGCAGACTGAAATTTGCCGGAACAGTGTTTCATTACGAACGTAAATCCTTTGGGTACCTCTCCCCAGAATATTTGTGGGCACATGGCCCAACCACGGAACCAATTTTTATTGTGGTAAGTTTGTTTATCCCTTCTGTAAATAATCTACTTTATAGTCATTTTTACTATAATTATACAGCTGTTGTTGTAATCTTGGAAAACTGTTGCAGAAATATTTTGCACATGGCAGTTGCAGCCCCCATATTTTTGGATTTGTCGGAAATGTTAATATTATAACGTACAACTAGATAAACAAAAGAGTAGTGGAGCATATCAGTGTTCTTTTATAAAGATTAGGCTTACACGAGCATAATGTAATTTTGGTGACTTCAGTGACATCGCCACCTTGTGGTCAATCCTCAAAAGTAAATGCCTCAGAAATTATGATGTAGCTTTTACAATAAATATAGTTAACGAAGTCGTGCATGGCAAATTACGTGAAATCACCCGAACACGTCGAAGTTATATAGATGAATATTATCATTATGTACTTACAAAACTATATTTTTTTCAGTGTTCATATATTTGCTTAACAGCGTTATTTAATGCACGCATTAGTGCAAAATAAAAGTTATATTCTTTGTCACAAAAAAATGTTATTAAAAATATTGTACAAAAAGAAGGCAAACATTAGAAAATAATTCTATATTTCGGTATCTCTTAAGCAATATATATTTAATGCTAAGAATTTTCTGGTGATAATAAAATTTAGAAAGAGCCATTATTAAAATAAAAATATTAATCTGTTGCATGCGATCCTTTACATGTCAGTCCTATCCGTCTATAACTTGAACTCAAAATTATCAAAATTCATGTTTGTATTTAACTGAGCTTTATTTATAAGTTCACTATTGACCAATTCAAACCAGTAATCTGGAAATAGCACGTTTTTCTAATTATCACTAATTTAGACAGTTTTTGTGTTTACGGTGGTGTACTGGGCCTTAGTGACCAAGAAGACGACCTTTCTGGAGACGCTGCCCAGCATTCCCGTGGGAATAGAGAGGTGTCATTGACTTTCAAGTGGTGTTAACGTCTTATTTATAATGTTTAAACTTAGAGATTTCCATTAAGTTCTGTTGAAGCCAAGGGATGACATAGTTGTGTTAGATCTTTCAATTGAGAAAAAGATACGAGCTGGAGTTACTTGCGACGTGTAAATGTTGTTAAATTTTGTAGTCATTGGTAGAACAACTAATTTCTGGCACTACAACAGAACTCCGTAAATAAATTGTTTTGTGTTGATTCTTCTTGTGAACTTCGTGTTGTTGTTTTTTTTTATTAGCTTTGTGAATAATTCCTTTCAGCTGTGTCTTGCCGCTTCACAAGTTAGAGCCATTTCTTCATCAAACACTTACCTGCCAATCAAATCCTAGTGATCATCCCGTTAATGCTTGCAAGTAAATCCTCACACACACATACAAAACCTACTAAATCAATGTTTACTAACTTAGTACATTTGTTACCGATAAGAACAAGAAGAAATAAGAATCTGGCGAAAAAAGATAATATTAAATTGAGCTTTTTCTAAACTGAGATATCAGTTTTAATAATCACCGAATCGTTGATTTTTGGGCTAGATAGTAACCTGTGCAATACTTTAATTGCAGCTGTTATACCAAGAGAAAAATCCTGGTATCTCTTATGAATATTCTGTACCGAGAGATGTGAGCAACCCCCACACCGATACATATTCCTGGACTTTCGAGGACTTTGGCCCCTGTTCTAGAACTTGCGGTGGAGGTAGGTCCAGATATATCACCTTGATCTCTCACAGCTGTCTCGATTAGCAGTGTCTTCAGTTTTTTATTGTTTTTTAGAATTTTTGATGCATAGTGGAGAGATTTAAACATATTGGCAATAAAGTTAGAGAAAACTGTACTACTAGCCCTGATGTAGTCGCAAGGGTGAAACGTTGGCTGAAATAAAAATAGTTTTTTTATTATAATTATTATCTGGAGAGTAAAAGTCGTTTTTTTTTCTCAAACCTTATTGCCAAAACAAATAAGCATTTTTTTTATTCCCTTCATTGTTAATATATTTTGATTTGAGCTCCATTGGTTTGTTTACGGCTGTTAAAACAAATACTTCTATTATTATAACATAACTTAGCTATGTGGCAAAAGCTAAACAAAAAGTTACTTTAAAATATATTACCTTTGAAATGTCACTAGTATTCTCGTTTGGATACAAAATTTTAATAATGAAATTAGGGACGAACAGTTAAAAGCGTCATAAAACATTTGTGCAATTACAACCGATAAGTTTGTTTAAAATTATAATAAAATAAAAGTACATGTTTGCTTTACTTTATATCATGAATTGTCGCCTTTCATTTTAGTTCGTTTAATAAATTTTAAAACGAAAAGGCAATGCTAGTCCTTAAGGCATTTCAGGAATTCCTGTCACACTTGAATTTTAGTTCTGCTTTTCATGGACAAGTAAGTTTGAAGTTTGCACAACTTTGTGAATTAAAAAAAAACAAAAAAAAAACAGAAGAAATTATACATGCTGATTAACCATTCCTATGATCTAATGAATGATATTCTTGTTCTGCAGGTATTCAGATAGGATCAGTCAAGTGTGTTCGGAATAACGGGTTGGAAACAGTCCCGGAATTTTTATGTGACCCACTTTTGAAACCTGTTACCAATCGCACATGTAATAAAGAGGCGTGTCCTGCAAAGTGAGTGGGTGTTTTACATAAAATAATTTACTGTTTCCTGATCTCGGCGACTTTGAAGAAAACGGCGAGACAGTTTGATTATCACACATGTAGTTTCGGTGACGTAGAACAAAATTAATCTTGTTAAATTTGATATTTAATTTATACAATTTAGAATTATAAGACTCATTTATCAAGTTCAGTTACAAAAGCATAAACTGTGGTTTGTAAATTATTACTTTGTATATCAGAAGAAGTGCTTTTAACTTTGGTATTCATGAACAAGTTACTTTGATATTTATCCAAATTTAATTAAAACTTAAAATTTCTAATCTTCGTTTTCGAGATTGCTGGTTTTTATAAAGCATTTATGTTATCGAAAATAAAGTATTGACATAAAATATTGATATTATGAGAAAAAAAGAAAAAACTGTTTAGTCACAATTTCCTCAATTTTTAGACATTGAAGCCCTAAGAGTTAAGAAAATGTCTGAAAACTTAAGTCAACCACAAGATGTTACTTTGTTTTTCAGTTGGTTTGTAGAAAAACAAGGTAATTGCTCCAGACCATGTGGAATAGGCGTGCAGTTTCGTGTTGTTTATTGTCAACAACTTACACTAAATGGAGTTATCCTCGTTCCTGACGATAAATGTGAACAGGAAGTGGGTGCTAAACCTAGTTATTTTCAACAATGCACGACTGGAAAAAAATGTCCAGTGTGGAATGCTGGACCTTGGACTGCGGTAAGTGAAGTAAATGTGATCCAAAGTTTTGAACATAACATTACTGCCAGTACTGTTAGATAATTGCTAATTCTAAGATACCGAGTCAAGTGAGTAACACTGATAGACCCTACAAAATTGCAGTATTTACTTGGTCTAGTTTGATTGCGGGCTTCTTTACCAAGCATGTGCCAGTTCTAATTTTAAATAAAGTAAATTGATTGAGTTGTAGAAAAATATTGTTACGTCTCCATTTGT